GCAAATGAATAGTTTATTGCCTATTAATATGTACATTAATAGTACAATTATTGCAGGTTCCAATCAAATTTGATAGTCCAGTCAATGTCGACTCTACTTCATAATTAATTGAAGAAGTGGACTCCGTATTTGTTTTGGAGATGGTGCTAGTAGAGACGCCAACATTGCTTGCACCCTTACACTGAATATGTGCGCCAGAAATTGAAGTAACTATTCTCTCTGCCACATCCATTTTATTTTTTAAGGATTCTTCTATATATCCTTCCGCCACATTCGACGATTTCCAACCGCCGTGACGTTTTAAAACAGTCAAATCTGCACCATTATCTACCAAAATTGTCGCAGATGTCCTTCGAAAACAATGTCCCGTGTAAAGGTTTGCATCGGACAGTTTCAAAAAGTTAGCAACGATTTGTGGAATGCTGGCAAATGTATGCACCCCCACTACTTGCTTAAATCCTTTACCATTATGGTATTTGAAGAAAAACCTATTGCAGTGAAAATTGGATGGTCGAACGGCTGCATATTTACGGTATGTTTCTAAATAAGTGTCGTTTACTATAAACGACCGTGGTTTATTGGTTTTGTTGCATGGAATCTTCACCAGTAGTTGTGAACCCAAATCCTCAATGTCCGTAAGCTTTATGTTACATAACTCCTCTCGCCGACAGGCGCCATAAATTCCGAAAATTACCACAACCTAAAAAAATTAAATTATAATCTTCAGGCCTTTCAATTAAAATCTTACTTTAGCCATGAGGTAAGTATCATCTGGAGCGTTCATCATAAATTCTCGGATTTGTTCGTTGGTGAAGACTTTCGACTTCTTTGCTTTGTAACCCACGGATTGCTTTTTCAAATATGCTCGCAGTTTGTTATATGAAGTGATGTCTACATTTTGCTTTAACATAAGAGTGGCCTTCAACATGGAGTAATTTGCCCAAAGTGTTGAGGGTTTCATCTTTTTCGACAAATCAAGAAAATATCCGAGTACCACATTTTCCGAAAACGAATAAGTTCCTTTACTTGATCTATATTCCATAAAACGTTGATAAGCATTTTCATACTTCCCCTCGATTTAGTTGGCAACAGATTAAGAGTAGCTTCATTGACTGCCTCCAAAACTTCAGGTGGTGTTCTACAAAATAAATCTTCATCAAAATTACCATCGATATCCATTTTATATTAATATTGCACATCAACTAATTATAAATTCACTCAAACGAAAAAATTTTCGATTTGTTTACGTCATGTCCATGGTAACGTTCAAACAATGCATGCTCGGAAAACAAACTTGATGTTTGCATTTATTAATTACTGTAAATAAAAAAAAGGCGCCGCCCGGGTTCGATCCTCGCACCTATCGCATACAAGCCTAGACTAATGACATTAGACCAAATGACAATTGGTGAAAATTAAATTTAGTTTGAAATGGTATATTTGGTGTTTTAACTATTGGCTATCGACTAAAAAATAGTATGTACAACACGTAGGAAAAGTATATTCCTGGACTCTGATAGTTGTAAGCCTCGGCTAACGCCTCGGCTTACAATCACTATCATCGTCCAGGAATATGCAACTTTTCCTACTTGTCATACAATCTACTATT